GTCTGGACCCAGTAAGGGGGAGCCTAAGGCCTTGAGGCTTCCAGGAGGAGGAGAGAGTTGCCAGTGGGCACACGGAGCTGCTGCATAGAACTAAGCGGGGCTTTGCTGCCTATTAGCTCAGCTGCCCTCAGACCAAAGCTGGCCACCCATTCATTCATTCACTTTCAAAATTCTCCGTAAACATGAGGTACCTGACTCCACTACAGGCTGTGGGATACCTAGCAAACAGATCATTCGTGTCCCTGGCTTCCAGGGACCTGCGTTTCAGGGATGGCAGTTCCCACGGGACGTTTCAGGAGCCTGAGTCTCAGAGAAGTGAGGACACACAGCAGTGGTGGTCAGACGGGCGCAGAAGCTGAGGCTCTAAGGGGCTGCTGAATGGGAAGTAGGACCGAGTGGGGCTTCAGCGGCCCAAAGAAAGCTGTACCAGCTGCTGCCTGACTCGGCAAATGGATTTTCTGCTGTCCCTGGGGCCCAAAGCACAAAACGAGGGGCATGGGGGAGACACCCAATGGGGCAGCCAGGTGTTGGTGGCCCGAACTTTGTTACCCTTTGGGGGGGGGTTGGTTTCCTCTCCCTCTTCCTGCTAGAACCTGCCTCCCCATGATGCCCCTCAGTCCTGTCTGTGTCCCCTGCTTCCAGCCCCAGCCCCAGGTTCCCACGCTGTCCCCTCCATCCCATGTCCTGGCAATGCCTCTTTCCTTAGCCAGAGCCTGGGCTTCTGGCTGGATGGACACTGGGCTGGCTGTGGGGTCTGAGACATGTTATTTGGTCACTCCATTTCTTCCCTGTAACGTGACACTGTCTGACTCTATGGACTGGAGCAGGTTTGGTAACCAGGTCAGACCTTTAGGATGTGCTGAGTAGAAGCTGAGGCTAGAAGGGATATGGGCCCCAACTGTGATGATAAGTGCTCACATTCTTGAGCACTCACTGCGTCCAGACTTTGTCTTCACAAAAAGTCTACAGAGTTTGTCCTGTTAATATCCCCTCATTTGCAGATGAGGAAACCCAAATACAGAAGGGTTCGGTAACTTGCCCCAGGTCACACCGCTAGAAAGTTGTGGGGCTTACATTTGAACCTTGACTATGCAGCATCAGTCTCCACTGCCCCAATACTGGGCTGTGTTTTCTCTCTAGGCTCTGTCCTGGCCATTATCTTTCCAAAAAGGGGCAGGGCTACGTTCATCATGGTGACAGAACCTTTAAGAAGTGGTCCTATGAGAGGTCTTCCAGTCATTCGGAGGAGGCTGCCCTTGAAGGGGATACTGAGACTCTAGCCCTTCTTTCTCTCTTTTATACCCAATCACGAGGTGAACAGGCTTCCTCTGCCACAGCTCCCACAGTGATGGACTGTGCCCTCACAGGCCCAAAACCATGGGGCCAGTCAGCCCTCAATAGAAAGCTCTGAAACTGTGAGCTAAAATAAGCTTTTCCTCTTTTTAAGTTGATATATATCAGGAATTTGTTCCAGTAACAGAAAACTAACACAGGAGCTGTCTAACTATAAGTCAGGCCATGTTTTTCCTCTTCTCAAAACCTACCATGGTGCCCACCCACTCAGAACAAAAACCAGTTTGCACAAAGCTCCCCATCTTCCTTCTCCCCTCTTCCTAGCTGCTCTGCGCAGTTCCGCTCAATAATCTTTGTGGAGCTCTCCGTGGTCCTGAACCACTTCATGATCCTTGCCCTTAGTGACATGGTTCCTTTGGGAAGTGGATGGGGAGAAGATCTTGAGGCCCCAGAGAAGCTACCTCTCCTTTTCTCTCTCCAGGTTATATTTTTCTGTCTCCACTTCTGGGAACTCTCACCTTCCTTCATTTCCTTACATTAAATCTTTATCTGTTAGGTCTTGGCTGAGTTGACATCTTCTCAGAAAGATTTCTTGGGTTGTGCAAAACCGAGAAAGGTCTCCCCTTTTTAGTTCATGTGGCGTCCTGTACTTCCCAGGTTCTAATGTGTGGTGGTTAATGTTTGACCCCATCAGTCACTTGTAGGCTTCAAATCTATCTCCCTCACTGCTGTGTCCCTAGCATGTAGACAATGACACTAAACATTAGGCAAATGAATGAACTCATGAAGGAAATGAATGTGTGGTAGATGGCCTAGGGGCAAGGAATGGCTTTATATGGTTTGTTCCCACCCTTTGATGAAGCCAGGACTACTCTACCAGGCTCTGTGTTGGAAAGAGTTTGGCATGGTCCTTCCCCAAACAAGTGCATGATTTGGCGAAGGAAAAAACAGAGGTTAATACCCTGAGCCCCATTTTACAGATGTGGAGACTAAGACTCAGAAAGCTGATGCAATTCTTCTGCAATTACATAATTCAGGAGGTACAAAGAATAACTTGCATCTGAAACTTGTCCCCATCCCCTGGCTATGCCATCACTTTCCGACTCTGGATGACAGTTTATGCTCCTGTGTGATGGAGACACTGGATGAAATCTACCTCTAGTGAAATGTCCAAACTCCAGGATTCCAGGGAATATTAGGGCCCATGAGCTTCATCTCTTTTCTCTGGGAAATACCTTCTGGTGCCATGAGCAGTGTACCATAGACAGCCCTTAGCTTCCAAGCAATGGTTGTGTTGTCCAAGTGTCATCGTCAGAATCAGGGTAAGAGACTCCTTTCTCCTAAGAGCTGGATTCTTGCAAGAACCACACAGAATTTTCATTCTCTCAAAACGTCCAGACTGTTGAGTCCCATGGGAGATTTTTATCATGGATGGTAAATGTGATGTGGCCCAACCTGGCCTCAGTCTGTCCGTGGCCAGAGGCCCAAGACAACACATATCACATTGCCTGGTTGGCCTATGACCCCTGGGGAAATTCCACTGGTTCCCAATGTTAGATCCTTCCCCTAAAATAATTCAGAGGGCTGGAAATGAAAGGCCTTGGGCTAGAGTCTGGTGCACTTTGGGGAATTATCCCAGGTACCCACTCCATGGCCATATCAGGATCTGAAGAGTCACATGTGTTGGCTTCGGGGACAGTAGAAGCTGGGGTCTACAATGTTTTTGTTGTTGTTGTTGTTGTTTTTTCGAGATGGGGTCTCACTATGCAGTCCAGGCTGGCCTTGAGCTCACTTTGTAGCCCAGGCTGGTCTCGCACTCACAGTGATCCTCCTGCCTCAGCCTCCTGAGTGTTGGGATTGCAGGTGTGCACCACCACACTTGGCCACACAATGTCTTCATTATTAAAAAACAGACCATTGTGTGTAGTTACACAATAGAAACAAGTTGCTAGAAGAACAAAGGTCTGAAAACATGTCTTAGTCCATTTAGGTTGATGTAACACAATACCATCAATTAAGTGGCTAGTAAGCAACAGAAATTGACTTCTTACCACTCTAGAGGCTAGGAAGTTTAAGATCAAGGTGCTGTGCTAGCAGATTTGGTCTGGCTTTCTTGTTTTTCAGTGGCACCTTCTCACTGGGTTCTTACATAGTGGAAGGAGCAAGGCAGTTCTCTGGGGTCTTTTTAAAACAATGATACTATTCCTTTATACAAGGGGCTCCACCTCACAATGTAATCACCATCCAAAGTCCACATCTTCTAGTAACATCACAGGGTATTAGGTTTAAACATATGGATCTTGGAAAACATAAACATTCAGACCATAGCCCATGGAGCACAGGACAGGAAAATAACAGGGTGGGCAGTTGAACCTGGAGAGTCCAGGTTAAAGCAAGACCAATCCGCACTCGAAGGAGATTTCTTGGCTTCTGCTCAGAAAACCTTTGGGCATCAAGATGCAGTCTGCTGGGGAAAGAAAGGAGAGGAGGAGCAAGTTTAGGGCATGGAACCCTGACATTCAGGGAGGCTACTGAAGGCTGGTTTTGTGATCCTCTAACTCTGACTGAAAACTGGAGCTGTCAGGAGGGGAGCAAACACAGCACCCAACAGACCCTACCATCTTGATCTGCTTTGTCAACCATGGACAAGAGTGGCTTAGACAACAAGCATGTATCTCTCATTGTTCTAGAAGTTCAGGATGAGGGTGCTAACATGGTTGGGGTCTGGGAGGGTCCCCATCTTGGCTTGCAGATGTCACCTTCATGCAGTGTCCCCAACATGGTAAAGAGAGAAAAATCCTCTCTCTCTCTCTCTCTCTCTCTCTCTCTCTCTCTCTC